AAATAAAATAGGCAAGACATGTTCATCTAATTAATTGAAGTTCTTCACCGAAGCCCAGATGATCTGCAGCATTGCTCGCTTTAATTAAAGAGGCTTATTATGTTCTTCCTTATTTATTTATTTTATCCTGTTATAGCAGTGCATACTCATATTTAACAAGGCCAAAGTTTCAAATGATGAGATCAGTGTTTACACAGGTAATCCCAGTTGAGCAAAAGCTCAGACTGCTGTAAATACTGGGTTTCAAATTGGTTTTCTCCTCATGGTTCTTTATGATGTAATTGCCAGGGGATAACCCTAATATGGGCATTTCAGATACCCAGCTCTGCCTGGGAAAGTTAGTCAATCAGAAGAAAGCTGACTGAACAGGACAGAGTCCTTGGAGCTAAAAGTGACGTTTTTTCAGCAAGCAGATGAACTGGGTGACAAATAAGATTGAGAATGTGAATTATTTTAAACTCGCAGTCGTGCAAAGTAACAATAGATCCAAAATAAAATATGGAGTTGGAAATCAACCTTCATACTAGTATTTTGAAATTATCAGGTCAAATATCCCCTTTATATCTGGCCTTTATCATACTTGTGGTTCACACCGGTAGCTAATGCACTTTTTTATGAGAAAATTCTGCACCGTAGAGTACTGGCTGTTAAAATGTGCTGATGTGTATGAAAAAATTCCTTGAAATCTGCTTGCCTAAAAGGAGTTGACTTAACCACAAGCCCATCTTGACAAAATGTAATCAAATCTTTCCCAGAAATTATGAATTATGTAGGCGTCACATTGTTTACATTTTTAGCAGATGGCGCTTTGCAGTCTCTGGTCTAAATGTAGGTCAAATGAGTAACTTCGACTTCGACTTCCACTGGCATAAAGCTGAGCTATAACTGCATTGGTCACAGGCAGGATACTTCAGGCGCCACTGTATGTAACAAAACATGAATTCTTTGATGTCCTGTGTGAGCAAGACCTTGCCCTATTTTTTCTAATGGCACTGAAGGAAGCAGGTGTGTAGGAGTATCATCACAAAGTCACTTCCTGGCACATTAACACAGA